ACCAAGGTAGACACAAACCGGAAGTGAACCGAGCAGGGGTGAGTACTTATGGGACTACTGTACCAGAGCTATCAATTGCGCTCTGCACTATCTGAGATTTTCTCACTAGTTTTGTTGTCACTGTCCAAAGAATGAACCTAAATACTTGGAATTGCATGTAAAACTTGTGTAGATTTTGTATCCCTTTTATTCAATTTTGATGGAAGTTCATATTTCCACTTCATTTTGACAGTCATGGGATGCTACATTGCAGTTTCTGTGTTCACACAATGCAGCTATACTCTACTAAGGAATAGACCATTATTTTTTTTGAGGGGGGTGGGGTTGGATTGGACAATTTTGGGGAGTATGATTTTTTTTTTCTCGCTTGTAGGTTGTGCATGACTTTTTCTGATGGGCAATAGCTAGTGCATGAAATATATTTTTAAGCCAAACACAGGACCTGGATAGTAGAAAGCACTTGCTAGATGGTTTTTTTTTTCCGGTGGCTCTCCTTGCAAATTTTTTTTCAGCCGTTTTTGATGTGAAGGAAGCTTTTATGGAAATTGCCCGACACCCTCCCTCAAAAAAATAATGGTCCGTCCCTACATGTAAGCATGTGCAAGCGATGGATGATGACCCATCGTGACGACATAAATAGCGATCATAAAAGGGGTTACCGTCTCCTGTTAGGAGACTCTGCCGTTGCATGTTCCCAGTGATACTTAGTGCTCACAAGCAGTCTCTGTTGTTTGTTCGCAGTTTATAGCTCACCCCTACAGCCAGCTGATGTTGAACTCAGTTCTGTACGACGGATTAGGAGGATGGGAAGATTCTGGCTTCCTGACCAAGCTGATGTTGGGTCTGCTGTTGACAGTATCGGGGCCGTTATTGGCGCTATGTTATTTCTTGTTACCCAACAGCCGGATCAGCAAGCTCCTAAAGAGACCAATCTTGAAGTTCACGAGTCACACGGGTTCATTCTACTTGTTTCTTATGCTGCTCATCTTTTCCTCGGTTCAAGACAAATTTTATGATGTACTTCAGTTTCAAATCTTCGGTAAGTACGTCTTCACTTACCGTTACCCCTCTCACTTTGTTGTTTTCTGTTACAAGCTAAATTTTTTTTTGAGATGAATAGTATGTTCTTGTGTGAAAGTTTTCCCGATTATCAAGTGCGTTCCGCCGTTTGCAGGCTCGCCAGAAATTTGAACTCACAACGTTATCTGGTTGCCCTAACAACAAACTAAAAAGTCGTTCGTTAATGAAAATAAGACAAGATGCAGTCTAAACTGCGAACAGTTCGCGCTATTTTTCGCCTGAGATTTTTCCAGCGAGAAGCGAAAAGGCATCCCTAGGTCCCGGGAAAACTAGAAGAAGAAAATTGCAATTAGCGAGCAGCAGGCGTATCTAAATACGAGATGACTAAATGGCACTACAGTTAGCCTAAATTGTCTTAACAATCCTTACCATAACAATAGGCAAAATTTAATATGCAAACCAACCTTAAAATTTCAACAACAAAAAAAAAGATCTTTTTCAATTTCACCAATCTTCAGCTGTCGTCGTGTATAGGACGGGAGGGGGAGGGAGGAGGGGATGGGGTAGAACAATAACACGTGTTACTTTAAAAAAATATTAATGACGCAAGTTTACAAACGAAAGTCCAGAATTGCAATAACGTAACAAATAAATCAGTTTATTTAAACGTCATGGTATTTAGCACTGCTGCGGTAATTTGGGACGCTATAAATCCAGCGCAAACTGAATCCAGCGCCCTAACTACAACGCCACGCCGCCTCAATGTGCAGCAAGACTGAGATAACAAACGGAACTTCCTTCTTTTCAGTTCGAGAAATTACATACGTAAAATTGTTGTACTAGGATATAAATCTGTCTGTAAATTGATAAAGTGTGCCGCCGTGGAATTTGACGCTGTTTTACTTGGCAGATGTCCTTATAGCGCTGTGGATCGCTGGTTTGCTGTTCCAAGAGGCAAAAGAAGCTTACCGTCAGGGTAAAGAGCGCTACTTTTCGCAATACTGGAATGTCGTCACGCTTTTCATGCTGGGAATGTTTGTAATCTCTGGGCTTCTCTGGCTTGCTGGATTTTTCCTTTCTGTGGAGGGCAAGGGGACCTCTGAAATACCTGTCCGTGAAGCATTCGGTATCAGTGCGAAAGAGTCCGCCTACCGCCTCATTCTTTTGTCCAATGCGTTCTTTTCCATTGGTTTGGTCTTGAGCTTCATCAATGCGTCCAATTCATTCCAAGTGAACTCCGTTCTCGGTCCGCTGCAGCTGTCACTTGTGAAGATGATTCGGGACATTGCGAAGTTTCTGTTCTTGTTTTTGCTACTGTTTCTTGCATTCGGTTGGGCGGAGAGGAAAGTGTACTCTCGGTATGTTCAAGCCAGGGAAGCGTTTACTGGGAATGCGACTGAACACAAATTTGCCCAGTAAGTACTTTATCAACTGATATTTCCTGCTCTGATATTAGTAATAATTCACAAATAACCCTGTCGCAAAGTTAATTTAAATGACTCACATGGATCGGGGTATTACATGCATGTGTTGTTGACCAAGCGTGAAGTCAAGATGACTGGATATTGACCAGGTTCTTTATTTTATTGTTATTATTTTTTTTTTTAATTATTTTTTTATTTTTTTGCACTTTTATAGACAGAAAGGGAGTTGAGATCCACAAACACGCAGCCCTCTTGACCGAACAAGCTGGGTGTAAAGGAGTAATTATCAGGCAGAAAGATAGCCTCTCCAGGCGTTCAGTTTTTCACTCGCCGTTTTTCGCGCTGCGCCCCAACTAACTGAACGCCTGGAAGAAGCTAGCAGAAAGAACAAACTCTTTCTGCGAAATACAGCAGCAGGCAAGATGGCGCTATACTGTGCGGTCGGGATTACGCGCTGACCCGAGCGCAAATACCATAATTTTAGTGTTCTTTATCCCTTGTAATAAATCCTTTATTGAGCAAGGTTGTTCGGTCAAGATAAGTGGATATTGGCGTCGTCCGGTTTTTGCCTGCTTTGTAGCGTATGGATTTCAACTCCGTTTCGGACCATAAACTTGCAAAAACAAGAACGCGGCCAATATTCAGCCATCTTGACCTCACGCTTGGTCTGAACTTTGCAATACGAGATGTTAAGATGCAGAACTAACGAATTAGTTTGGCAAATTTCTTTTTCAGAACAGCGCATTTTAAAGAAAGCAGTTTATTGTTAATAAGAACTGGTACTCCTTTTTCGTTTATATTTGGCGGACAATTAGAGTTTAATTTTGCGCGCGCGTTCACTGAAATAGATCGTGGGGATGCATTAATTTTTCGCACCACTTTATCATCCAACAACAAGAAAAAAAAATAGTCGTGACTAGCTCACGCATTTTTCCGCGCTTCCATCATATATATGCATAGGATGTAATACTAAACTTTGCATTTTTCAGGATTGATGGAAGCCTAAGGTTCCTATTCTGGGATTTGTTTGGAAAGTCAGCGCTATCGGACTTAAGCACAGATAAGAACTTCATCATCACTCAGTACACTGGTGAATTACTGCTGGGACTGTACAGTATTCTGTCTATTTTGGTCGCTTTAAATATGCTGATTGCCATGATGGCAAACTCTTATCAGAGAGTCGCGGTAAGTTGACCGTATAACCCGGCGAAAGGTCCGAAAATAACACCTATCCCCACTCTAGATTTGAAGCAGTCCTTTTCTACCGCTGCTTTTAGGGAGACCCTTGGTATTTTTTGGGAGTCGCTACTTTTGGGTGGCAACAACTTGTACCATATGTGGATCGATCCATCTTTGACTAATAAAATGTGTAAACACGGTAATATATAAAGAGATGAAGAGGAAAAATCATTTTGCTGACATTTTTTTGTATAATATCAAAGCGAAGTAAAACATTTCCTTTGGAATAATAACCGTCACCAAAAAAGAAGCATCGTATCATTTTAGTACAGCTTGTTGTATCTTTTATTTCCGTTGCTTCTCACTACAATTCAAGTTGCCTTCGATTTGATGGTCGTTACGTTAGCGATTTGCTCGCAATCGTGAAATTTAACTCCAAATTCTTGGGGTGATCGCTACTTCAGGAACTTTGCGGTTTAAGAGGGGAGGTCAGAGTCAGTTACTATGCACAAGAAGCTCGCCCAAGCAAGGAAAAGTGAAAGTGGGCGTTTTTAAGAACTTTAAACGTGATAAAGACGGCGCATCAGAATAAATTTCCCAGTTTTAAGTTCTTTAAGTTCGGTAGAGTTTTAGATTTTGACGGCCGGTTTTTAATTCAGTGTTTTGCTTGTTCCCAAAGGACGACGCAGATATTCAGTGGAAATTCTCTAGAACCCGGATGTGGATGCCTTATCTTGATGAAGGCAACGTGATGCCGCCTCCATTCAACCTCATTCCTCCACCTAAATTGGTGTTTCGTCTTTTTAGAAGACTGTGCGCTGGTCCTGCGAGCTGTGTGGTAAGTTGGCTTGCTCGCTAGGAGGCGTCAGGAAGTTGTATGGAGGTTGTCTTCGTTTCTGGGAGGCGCAGTGGGCTCATGGTTAGTGCGCTTGTCTCCGGATCGAGCGGTCCGGGTTCGAGCCCTGGCCGGGACATTGCNCACTTAGACAATCTAGTGTTCCTTTGTGGCCATAACCGCCACTCGGTGTATCTTCACCGAACTAGCTGAGGCTGTCTGGAACTTGGGTCAAATCTACCGTTCATGGGTGACTAGGGTACGTTTCTTTGGTAGAATACAAGAACGGAATCTCATGAGACACATTTACTTCACGCCTAAGGAACGCCTAAAGAAACGGAAAGTCCAGAAATTGATCATTTGTCTTGACAAATTCGTATACCTTGTTCGCCTGGAGAATTTGGTGGGCGATTGGTGTGTTGGCTATGTATATTAAACATTACATTAAACGCTTTAATTCACTCGGCCACTTCCTTTACTTTTTCCTCCAGTTTTGTGTCCTTGATTCTTGTTTTTTAACTTCTTGCTTTTATATTTTTATTTTAAATTCAGCGCTGCGTTGTGATGAAGCGTTTGATCCAACGCTATCTTCTCTCTTTGGAGAAAACTGGAAACCAGTTTGTTGCTCCTCCAGAGAGATTGGACGAGGAAGAATTGAAAGATCTGATAACTCGATTACAAGATGCATTGAGAAGACGCGAGGAAAGCAAACATGCTGCTGATGCAATTGAGAGACAAACGAAGGTAAGTGAAGAGAGGTCTTTATTTAGTCCCTTCATACATTATATGAGACTACATTAAAGAGGTGTCCAGATTAGAAATGTGAAGAGTAAATAATTCTCTGAACTCTCTGTTTTTATCATCATTCAGGCGGAAAACAAAGCACAAGAACACAACAGACGGAATGAAACTCCCTAGCGTCTGGATAGCGACATGAAAGCTTAACATAAACAGATTCAGGAGTTTTTACATTTTACCAAATGTCTTAACATTGTATTTTGATCTGATATACGTGCATGGTTCTATTTTAACTCGACGCACTGTTTTATTCTCTCCAGTTTCCAAGCAATCCATTTCGATTCCTGGGAGACTCACTTCCAGCCTCGTTCCCAGGGAACGAGGCTCAAAAAGTAGTCATTTCAGTCTCGTTCCAGAGAACGAGGCTAGACGAAAGGGAGAACCTAAGCTGTTTGTACAGTCATAAACGTTAACGGGAAGATGAGTTATTATTAGTCTTTAAACAGTAACATGATATATTTATCTATTGTGTTGTTCCTTGTCCGAGCTAAGGATGCTCAATCGATAGTCTTAAAGTCGACCTGGTTATTTCATTCCAAAAACAAGTAAACACTTAGCTTCATCGTCGGCAAAGGAGACAAAATTAGGTTTGGTATTTTAAAATGATTACCTGCTTCTTATTAATGAAATGGTAAGCTGTTACGTTCCCGAAATGCATCCAAGTCAAACAATTGTTCTTAATAACGGTCTACATTATAAAAATGCTATTTTTTAACCTTCACTAAAGCTACACCCACATTACGGCTCTTAAACTAGAGTTATGACATGACAATGTCGTTTATTGTGCTACTGAGAAGCCTTTCAAAATATTGTCTGGTGGAATAAACGTAGCTGTAGGTATTTTTTAATCATAGCATAAAGGACATTGAGACTGCTTTCTGGCCAGCCGTTATTTTGCGATGTAATAGGAGTTAATAATTAAATGTTGTGTGAGATCGCATGTGTTTGTTAATTCAGTAATTCATTCGCTGTATTGTTTACGACACGGTTAGCCTTCACATTGCCCCATTCATGCATGTATGCAGTGCATTCCAAGCACATCTCATTTCCTCCCAGCAACTGCAAACGGGATTTTGTGGCCAATTTACATGTGCTGAACTATTTATCGATTCGCTCTGACTGATTCGCTGAAGCCACATTTCAGTAGTGTTTTGATGGGTTACTTATCCTCTGTTTGCTATCAAGGTTTACGTATTGCACTTACTAACGTAAAACGTGCGTACGCTTTGGTTAAGCTTCGGTATCGTATGGAGAAATTTTAATTCCCGGTGTTCAAACAAATTTAATTCGTGCTAAACATGGCGGCCCATGCGCTAATGCGTGAAAGGAGAACTTCGATGTCGTTGTTTGACGTTTTGGAAGCAGCCATGCCAGAGATGCCTCTGTCGGAGGAGGACAACTTCTTTTTAGAAGCCGTTCGCCGAGGAAATTTACTTCAAGTGAAAGAATACTTCAGAGGGAGACTTAACGTTCTTGAAACCGAAGCAGAGATAATCAAAGACTCCAAACTAGGTAGTTTTGGTCTCATCTTGGCCGCACAACAGGACAACTACGATTTAGTGAAGTTTTTGTTATCCCAGGGATATCGTATCGAGGAACCCCATTCCCGGTCTTGCGCGTGCGATAGCTGTAACGCCATGGGGAGCTTGGAAAAGGCTTTGTACCGTTTGAACGGGTATCGAGCATTGGCCAGCCCCGTGTATCTGTCATTGTCGTACCTCGCTGACTGTGAAAAGGAAGAATTGACGAATAAGAACTCGCGTACTAATGATCCTGTTCATCAAGCGTTTGTTCTTAATGGAAGGATGGAGCGTCTGGCTAGGGAGGAATACGAGTTCAAGAAGGATTACTGCAATCTGTCGACCCGTTGTGAGGAGTACGCGGTGGCACTGCTGAATCTGTGCCGAAACATGAAGGAGATCGGCTGTGTGATGACCATGCCTTCCATCAGGGGTCTGGCTCATGTGCAAGTCAGGACGGCCAACAAGGCAGCGTTGAAACTCACTGTGCTGAACTTCGCCATTAAGAACAAGAACGAGAGGGTAAGCATGTTTACAGACGTAATCATTGAATAAATATGTTATTAATAGTTACCCGCTCGATTCAATCAGGCTGGTCTCAAGAGAACTTTGTCATTAATTTATAAATGAAAGGCAGCTGTTTTCCTGCGAATGATACGTTTTTCAAAATATGTAGAACGGTCTGTTAAATATCAACTTAAATTAGTAGTTTAGTTTACACTTTTCTGTTTTCTTCTGTCTGTGGAACTTCTCCTTGCAACATCATTTTGTTTGTTTGTTTGTTTTTTTGTTTTTTTTTTATAAATTTATTGTCATTAACTTAATTAGGATACAGTGCTATCTTAAATTTTCAGGTTAAACGGCTAACACTGAAAAAAAGATGCCCGGCAATAATATATGGTAATTGACTTTTCTAACTTCGAACGTATTGAGTCAGTCAGTAAGACGTGGATTCTGAAATTAGCATAGTTATCTTTTTTTAGTCTAAGCCACGTCACTCGTTAAGGAAATTTCCCCTTACTGCTCCATTACTTATCGAACAGCGTACCTTCCGATAGCTTCTTTTCTGTTTGCACACGTGGGAAACGTTCAATTTCGCACTCAATTTCAATTTACTTTTCTTCCGTACATGGGAACAAAATTTCCTGGGTATTTCTGAAATGGAATAATGCATGAGGGTTTTCTTTTTCGGGGAAATTAAAATGCGAATATCAAGTTAATAATCATAAGTATAATTGTAAAAATGGTCCCTTACTAAATGCAATTGCGTTTCATTATTCTTCAGTACAAACGTAAACAAACTAAAACTGAATTTGTAACAAACAGGTCCGAGCAAGCGCGGCTGCAAGCGACCTTGTTTTGATAAAGACCTCACTGCTTTTGTTGCGTAAATCAAGTTGTACTTATGCTAACAAGTTGGCATTTAAATGAGAAAAGCAGGGCGGCTTGTATCAAAGCAAGGTCACTTGCAGCCTCGCTTACATTCATAGACCAGGTAACTAAGCCCACAACTGTAAAATGTTAAATTGTATGGGGCCGTGTCTCCGAAATTCGTCGGCGACATGGACAGTAGCTGACTTAAAGAGTTGACTGTCTCAGTTTTTTCTTCACAATCGAGTTTCTGATGTTGTTCTTGTCCTGGTGTAGTCTGAATCAAAATTATTCTCATGTGTACTTGTTGTTAAGAGAAAATTCGACGGTTGCCGCGTAACTCCTACTGCAGCTGAATGCACGATGTTCCTTCCTAGTTTTTCAGTGAAAAAATTGTAATACAGCGTTCTGACACGATGGGCGGAGAACACAAACGCCGTGGCAATGTATACGCCTTGTAATGTTGTTAGAATTATGAAAGGAGACCAGAGGTATTTTGATATTAATTAACATAGCGAGAAATCCAAGAAGCCAATAGAATCCCATGAGAGCTGCAATCCGGGTAAAAATTGGAAAGTCGCTTTCATTCTGCGACTGCTCCGTGACACTTCTCGTCTGACGTTTAGTTTGGCGAATGGCTTTGATCGTTCTGAGAAAATAAACTATGTTAAATACCAATGAGAGAGAAACGGGTGTGGTGAAAACATAAAGATTGGCAAATCTGTTGCTTATCCAGCAACCCGCGTTCGCGCCGTATCCAATGGTAACCGCATTTGATTGGTCGAGAGCAGTGCACGTGACAACGAGGATCAGTGTAGGAAGCCAACCCACTGCCATGTGGCGCATGACGCGGGCGCGCATTTGGCGCCAAATGCCACGTGACTGATGCCAGTATTTGTAGGAAAAAGTGCGCCAAGTGTCATAGGCTATGAGTGACATCCAAGCGAAGGAAACCAAAGAAAAGTAGTGCAGTAAAACAGCAAAGGCAGTGTAAGAAGCCTTCGAGGTATTGAGAACAGGTGTCAATAGCTACAACAAATGAGAAAGTAGCAAAGATAAAGACAAGTTTACAAGGTGTATTCCTGGAATTGTTCGCAGCTCGTTGAATGTGTAGTAGGTCACTAACACAATCAGCAAAGACAAAATTGATATCGCCAATCCGGTGACAGATAGTGGTGCTAATAAACTTAATTTATCTCTGTTCTCCTCCTTCCAGTAAAATTCTGACTAACAACGTACAAATCCAGACAGAATCGTTGAACCCAACATAATAGTCCTGTGTTGGGTAAAGTTTACCGGACGCATTTCGATAAAGGGATCCATTTGATAGGATAATGTACTCTGTTTTATCCAAGGAAATGTAAGCACCCGAGCAGTTTCTCACCGATCTCTTTCCACAGACCGTTATGTTGCCCTTTGGGGTGAGAACTCCACCTTGACTCTCAGTTGTTTCGGAGTAGTAATCCTTTTGACGAAAACCTCTTTCGACGCTTTCAATAAACCATGGAAACGTTGTTGTGGACGATGACGGTGTACTGCGAAGGACTAAATTCTTGTACCTGCATGCAATTCAGTAACCGTGACGTTGCCTTGAAAATTGTAAAAGAGATGTTGTGAATTACAATCGTTACCTCTTTCGTAAATTCAAGAATTGCTCTGGCTTTCAGGTTTGTGTGGTTCCGCTCTAGTTCAACGTCAAAATGACGGTGCACATTTTACCCATTTTACTGAATGAGAGAAGTACAATTTATGAGGCATCTAGACTAAACCTTGTAGCGAGAGACGTTGCCAAGTCTTGTCTTCTTAGTAGAATGCTATGCGGAGAAGTTACCCATAGTATCACGCGGTACTTGTCGAAATTCGCGATGTTTGGCGCTCCCATGCCAGCTCCTCGACAGATTTCCAGGTGAACATCATACACTTCCCCCTGAGGGCAGGAGACAGCCACCAGAGATTTTTTCTTATCTAACACATCAAGTAAAACATTGTATTTATGAACAGGGCTTCGGCCGTCAATAAAGCGACTTCCCGGCCCACAGATAAATTCCGATACTTTGCTCTTGAGACATTTTGCGCAGAAGATGTTTTTATAATTCTTTCCTGTAGCTCTATCATACACGATCCGGAAACTTCCATTTTTACAGTTTTGAAAATAACTCGATGTCGTCTCGCAGCTGGAAGATATTGCCTTACAATGTCTCCTATTGTTTCCATCTGGCGCTTTCCACCGAATCCTTGAACAATATTTGAATAAAAATCTTAAAGCTTCCGCGCGCGAATAATGCTGTGGTGGAGTAACCATACCATTGATGTCCAGTTCAAACGACATGATCTCACTTGCGTTGGCTTCAGCGCACTTTGCGCAATGTCGATTCTTGTAATTGACTCCTCGCTTGTCCGATACTGGAATCATGTCGTTACAATTTTCGGCAGAAAGGCTGTAAGACTGTTCGCATTTTTTTTTTTTGTCGGGTCGGCTGGCCACTGTTTTGGGCAAGATGATATCATCCAAATTCCCACCGTTTTGTTCCCGTGACCGTCTTGTACGCATGCCCATCGCTCATCCGGGACACCGTGAAGTTGTTCCATTGGTAGTCCGGATGTAAGAGATGCTGGTATTGTGTGCTGACTCGCAGCATCTGGTTTGTACGAGGAGGACGGCGGCGCAAATAAACTCTCTAAGCGTCGAAATGGAGACGTGAAGGAGTTGTTCGCTAGATTGCTAGATTTAGATAAATCAGGTGCGTTTGTTTTTGACGACCCTAGGACCAGAGCCGTCGTTGCGGTCGGCGCAATGCGAGAAGAGTTTAGAAACGTATCTTGCGGCAGAAAGGACGGGAATTTGATGTCGAACAATACTTGTCGTAATCTGCACAGCAGTCCATGAACTTTTCGCAATAATAATCACAGAAGCACTGTAATCTTCCCATTGTTGGTTCTAGGTCCCACTCTCTCAAGCATCTTCCCAAGCATGAGTACCACGAAGGCACCTTGCAAGGGACAACAAAACTGTCAGTGCCTAGTGTGTCATTTAAAATTCCTGATTTTATCGAGCGTTTCGTCTTGGTCGATGGGACATCATTATGGTAACCAAGAGAAAGTCGTTTTAGCGTGTCGCACTGAAATCCTTCAATCCCCTCTTTTGGGACAAATTTTCCTTTCTTAATAAAATCTTCCGTGCCTGAGTTGGATCCAGCTGTCCCATGTACTTCATTGTTCCCTGCTCTCGACTTTGATGCAATCAAGATTACCAGAAAAAAGGGAGCCTCAGTTTTTAAGTTGATTTACGTTGCACAAGTGGGCGGCAAATGGCGTTGCTGTGGCTTTTCACAAAGTTAGGCCGATCAAATTGTTTTTGGTTCCTTTTGTCCCTGAAAGCTCTTGTCAACACATCCGTCACTGGGCAAGTAATCAACTAAACTGGAAAAGATAATAGTTTCTTCTACAAATTCAAAAGCAAACAAGAGCGTCAAAGAGATACTGTGACAAAATCCTGTTTGTACATCAGTTGTGTTTGCTTATCTGTCCTTAATTTCTTTCCTTTGAAATCACATTAGAACAATAAATTGCTAAGAAAATATAATGAATTCACTAAAAAGTTGTTGGCATTTGGCCTTTATGTCGATGTCGTAGTTTAGCCGGACATCATGGATCTTAGTTGAACTAAAAAACTATTAGAGCAGGTGCGTCATGTGTAATTCAGAATAAATTTCATTTCAATTTATCACAGTTTTTGCAATGACTTTATTTGTCAAGTATACCAACAAGCCGGCGTCAGGCTGTCAAGCATTTTAGGTACACTACCATTTCAAGGGCTCGGCGAATTTGTAACGAAATCATGTGCTTTTTTGTGAACTTAAACTTAGCAATACAAGATAAAATTTACCAGAAAGAAAATAGCTGCCAGGGAAAAAGGAATGGCAACAGTTTTTAAAAGTTTAATTAAATTTTCTATATTAGTATCATTATTCGTTTTTATCATTTCACAAAATCTAGGAAGATTTCTTTGAGAAATCAGGCGGTTTGCAGATCTGGATTTAAGTAAGAACGGTGCTGATATGTGAAAATATGGCAGTGCTAAAGAATCGCGTTGGCGTAAGCACAAGCAATAGGTATCCCCGAGAAAAATTGCTGATAATTTCGGGATTTATTATTCGCTGAAACTGTTTTGCAGCTTGCCGTGAAATGCTGAAGAAATATTTACGAGAAAAAAAAAGAATAAAAACAGAAGCCAATAGGCAGTGTTACCGGCGGCGATGTTGCAACTTCCATATATCTTGGTGTTTCATTTTTTGTAATCGACTCGCGAAATGTATGTATGGTTTTTAAGTATTTTAAAGTCGATGGAGTCATCACTATTTATGTGGCATTAGGGAATAAGTGAATTTCCACTCCCCTTAAAAATTAATTTGCGAAATGTTTTTTATTGAAATCTGTGTGCTTTCTACATTAAGCTGTTCAAATCAAAAGTATATTTTTTGAAATAGTAAAGTGAGGCAGCAAATAGTCAGAACACAATTGTTTCATTCCCTTTATTTTGCTCTGTTTGGTAATTAAATTTGGCTTTTAAACTATGCTTATTAATTATGCATAATTGGGTATTTCGTTGTAATATCTGCCCTTTCTAAACGAAAACAATTTCTTGAATAGGACAGCCGGCTAACTGTTGCTCTTAACTGCCTGAGGGGGAATTGACCTACCAGAGAGAAAAAAAAACTATTCAAAATAAAAAACAACAAAAACGAAAACAATGACTGAGTAAAGTGCCTCGGTTTTACAAGGAGAGAGGGTTACCCTAGCAAGCGGGTTACCCTAGCACTCACACATTTCCTCTTTTTTTCTTCGTTGTGTTTACAAGGCAGCTAGGGTTACCCGGGTAGACGGGTTACCCTATCTGCGTGCTAGGGTTACTCTGGCAGGCGGGCTAACTTTTTCCCTTGTAAACACTCCAGGTAGGGTTAACTCGCCTACCCGGGTTAACGTTCTAATTGTTTCAGACCCTTTGAGTGTAACCACGCATTAAGTTGTCCCGGGTTGTGGGGTTACCCTACCTGTGAAATTTTGCTTGTAAACCCGGGCTATCCTTTGCCCTTCAGCTAGGGTTAACTCGTTTGCTAGGGTAACCCTCCCTCCTTGTAAAGAAGCCCTAACACTCAAAACATCAGCTACAATAACCCGCTACAGCGGTTATTAATTGTCATTTATCAACATCTAGTTGACAAATGGTCAATTCTTTCATTTGCCCACCGACGCAGTCCGTCAATTTCTTTTTTAGCTAATGACTTGTAAGTCTTGAACTAATTGGCTTATTGTCATGTTTTCTTCTTTGTTAACGTCGTTTTTCTGCTTTCTCTATAGTTTGTAGCTCACCCCTATTCTCAGCTCATGCTCAACGCAGTGTTATATCAAGACTTTGACGAGCGTTGGATTTATCGACGAACTATCACCAAAGTTGCCTTTGTGCTGCTCTACATGATCTTTCTGCCATTGTGGTCTGTTGTTTACCTCTTAACACCTCATAACAAACTGTCCCAGAAGTTGGCTACTCCGCTGGCAAAATTCCTCAGTCATACCTGCTCCTTTTGCTGGTTCCTGGTCATTTTGGTTTTGTCCTCGGTGCAGGACACGTTGGGAATTTCACTACTGCAAGTTTCCTGGATAGGTATGAAAACAGTTTTTTTGTAAGAGTGCGCATGCGCAGTAATGGATTTAGTCCATCTCTACTCCAAAGTTGACGCAGGGCAAGTTAAAGCCTTGTTACTCGCCGAGGCCGTCCTCCAAGCTCTCCATCTCCTCTCTTCTGTCTCCTTTTCTCGGGCATGTATGATAGTATGATGAACCAACTGACCTATAAAGCTGACATCGAGCAAGCCAGGCTAAGACTGACTTCCAGATTCGGTGTCCCCTTTAATACGAGACTGGGAGGGACTGATTAGGGCGCAAGTCTTTAAATCCGGCGGTCCTGGGCTCCAGTCCTATACTCTTTACGCTGTTTGTAGACAGGTCTGACTACAGCTCCTTCCCTTTTTTCATTAGGGAATGTTTAACACAGTATAATCTTTTCCAATATTTTTTTCAACGTTCTTGAAATGCCCAATGGGATCGTGGTTAATTAAAAGATTAATTCCCTCTGATACATCGGTGAACTGGTTTTAAAAAATCAATTCTCGGACTCGATGTTTTTGCTTTTTTATTGCAGACATCTTGACTGGTCTTTGGGTGTTAGGCCTTACCTTTGAGGAGGCTAAAGAGTTTTACAGACAAGGAAGAGAACGCTACTTTGCCCAGTGGTGGAATTTTGTCACTATTTTAATGCTTCTCTTCTTTTACCTGGCGGGAATATTCTGGCTCCTGGGCTCATCAGCGTTATCAGTTGATGACGACACATATTCACTGAAATATGTCGTTAGAAACATCACAAGAGATTCAGCTTTTCGCTTCTTGCTCCTTTCTAACAGGTACTGAACATTTGGGAGAACTGAAGGGGAACTGCTGATAGGACCGCAGTGCGTGCTTATTAGCTCCACACCAGCACAGCTTCCTTTACAGGAAGTCAGCTTTGAGCGGTTTCCAATTAATTATTAACGTTTACAGGACAGTGTAGTCAATTCGAACGGGTAATTTCTTTCAACCAATCGGTATCAAATCCACAGAATTTGTGATTCGAGTCAGAAGAATTCTTGGGATTTTTGCATGTTTTAGCTTGATTTGTAATATTAGTCTTTGTGACTACGCGGATTTTCACCATTCCACCCATTAGGAGCTCACTCACAGGCTATTATGGACTTTATCTAAGTCGCAAGGGTTAAGATAAGAACGTAAATGTTTGATTGACGGATGAAGGGTAACAGAGCCAATCCTCCGTATAAACCCTATTCCCAAAGTAATCCCTTCCGAGTTATTTTGAGACGCAATAACCAGTTCTTCCGCGGATAATATTATCACGCGCGTTGCGTGGATGTTTTCATGCAAGACAAAAATCCCACTTCTCCTGGGATTTCTGAAACCGGAAACGATCGAATTAACGAATTAGCGTCAGGTTTTCATGCGTCTGTCCTATTATTGTCATAAATTTCGTCGGGACATTGTCAAAGTAGCTGTGGATATACGAGGCGATAGCCGAGTGGATCTGCAGACTACTTTGACGATGTTATGACGAAATTCATTGTCAATAACAGGACAGACGCATGAAAAACTGTCGTCAATTAGTTTTACAATAACAAATTGTCCGCTCTCGTTCATTTATTTTGACGCATCGCATAAATTATAAATTCATGTGTCTATCCGCTTATTGACAATGACAATTAGCCAATGAGCACGCGAGAATTTCTGCAGTTATCGTAAAAAAGTAACTTGAGAGGGACTAAGGCCTACATGGGAAATTAACTCTCTTATCCTTTATCCTCTTTTATAGAAAACCCGTCCTAACATTTTCTCGATCTGTGATCTGTTTAACAGCTTTTTCTCCGTGGCGTTCTTGGTAAGCTTTTTTCACCTGTCTAACTCGTTTCAAGTAAATAGTGATATTGGTCCTCTGCAGTTGTCATTAATGAAGATGTGTCAAGATGTGGGCAAGTTCTTGTTGCTGTTTCTTTTGGTTTTCTTGTCATTTTCCATGGCCGTTCGTAAAGTTTACTCACAGTTTGAACAGATCACTGACCTGTATCCCGCCAAGACGAAAGAAGTTAGAGCTGCTCATGAGTTCTCTGGGTGAGTGGTTTTGTTTCTATTCCATAATCTGCTGTTTAAACATGATGTGCAATCCTCGGGTTAGGAGAGTAATGTGCCTTTAGGGCCTAATAGTTACCAATATTAACATTGTAAGTGGGTATACAACATAAGAAGACGTAGTTTCGTAGGATATCACGTGACCTCAATATGTGAGGCATATATCGCGCTATCACTGTACTGTTTTCACTTATCAATTATTGTTACTTTATTACTGTCTTGGTGGTTAGGTTCTCAGCTGGCCTAAGGAAATTGTTTTGGGCGTTGTTTGACAAGACAGACTTGGAAGCTTTTGAGATAAAGTCAAGCACATTCTATGTTACTCAGACCACTGGCGAGACCTTGTTTGCCTTTTTCAATATCGTCGCCATTTTGATCTCTCTTAACATGCTCATTGCCATGATGTCGAACTCTTTTCAACAAATAGCGGTGAGTACGATTACTCTAAGATAAGAGAATCTCGGGGAATAGAAACTAAGTCTACTGTCTTGTCTAGAGCATTTATTTTGTTCCCTGGATGTTTTTGAACGCATAACAACTTGCGCGCATGGATACCCCAGGAGTGCGGATGGCTAAGAGAGAAGTGGCCGAGGACCACAGTTAATGAAAGAGCAAAGATTTACATCCTGGAGAGAAGCAGAGACAGGATTGATGGCGCCATTGTTCTTGAGGAGAGAGGGAAGAAAGAATATTTGGCCCTGCTTTCGTTTGTAGTGATGTCTTGAAGGTTGTCGAGTTCAGTAGTTGTTTTTTAGAGGATTTTTTTGCCATTACAAAATGGAAGATGAGTTAAAAGGTTGTTGTGTCTCAGAGACCCCCCCCCCCCCCACCACCACCACCCACCCCTGTACGCCCAAGGGTTAATTTACAGAAGTGATACATAGACTGCAGAAATAGAAAACATGTTTAGTGTTTCTATCGAGCTATAGAAACACGAGTGGAAGTTTGGGAGAACGAGAAATGCTGTAGGAGCACGAGCCGACAGGTGAGTGTTTCCAGAGCTTTATCAAGCTCTCCCAAACGTTCACGAGTGTTTCTATAACTCGATACAACACGAAGAACATGTCTTCTATTTCTTAATTATTGCAGATTCTTTAAGAAAACACCACGACGAATAAAAGAAAACAACTTGTTTACTTTGATCATGAATGAATGAATGGATGAATGAATGAATGCTTTATTTGCTTGATAATCAAAATGTAAATTCTCTTTGCTCGCGCCATCGTTTTATCGATTCTAAACCAATTAGCGCGCGTATTTTCTTTGGGCTATTTTCTAAAACTACATAGAAAGTGTCAAAAACTTGTCAGCAAGAGATGGTCATGTGCACAAGTCTATGTGAAAGAAACTACGCGATGAATGAAATGAGGAATTGGTTGGAAGGGAACAATAACAAACAAGCCGTAACTGCAAATACCTCAGCAGTCGATAGCTGTAGGTAACCATCGTTTTCGGGTTGGGTCGTATGAAAGCGGAAACTCACCCCTCCCCTTGTCATTCAATCGGTCAGTCAGCTCTCACGAGACTCTCTGTTATTATAATACTCGTTAGGAGGTGCCAGACAGTTTCGTCTTAGGCAGTGAATGTTGCTCTCGGCAGGTTTGGATCTTGTCTTCGCATGCAATCAGTTCTCCCATTTTTTTAGACGTGGCATGACTTCAAGAAACAAGCCACTTTCAGTACAAAGAGCGGGATATTTGAGCAAGGTTACCGAGGTGAGCAGTGTGATATTGCTTTATCTCTAATAGCTTCGATCTGTCTATTCTGCTCCCAAAACAAGCATTACAGCCACCGCTTTGTATTATTACAAAGTAATATTGCAAGGCCATGAGTCAATTTATTTTCTGCCGCTCCTGAAAATCGTCCTAGAAATCGCCCAATTAAAGTTTGTCATGTCCCATACGTTATGACGCATGGGACATGATGACGCATAACTTCTGACGCCCACAGAAAGATGAAGGTCATAAATACGCATGCTAAACGAAAAATTACTTTTTCCGGCTCGAGTCAAAACAAAAGTTACTGCACTGGGAAAAGATCATCTGTATTTACTTTCTTGTCAAGGCTTGTTTAAATACTGCATGAAGCGTCCGTATAACTTCGTGGCCCATTTTTACAAATAAGAACACTTTCTTTTCCTAGCTTTTCACATCTTTTCGCATAATTAAATTAATATTCTTTCACTGATTTCGTTTAAACCGCAGCAGTTTAAGCCAGAAACCAAAGTGTACTCGTAATCGTGCGTGGATAAATTTAATACTGTCTAATTTGGTAAATTTGTTCAGTCTGAACTTGCAAAAAAAGAAAGCTAGTAGATTATGTAAGATTACTGCCCGAATACGGCAGAATACGAGTTTTGAACGTTGACTTGACCTCGTCACGGCTGCGTATCGCATAACTTGCTGTTTATATGATATATAACTTCATAGCCCGAGGGAAAGCCGGATTGTTTTACGAGATTTAATTACAGAATGACTCAAATTGTGCACCAATCAAAAATCTGTCCCGACTCTCCTAAAAACGCTCTGTGCCAGAATATTTTTCCTTTCTGATGTACCATGTCAAAGTAAAACAACAATGATGACAATACCATAAACTTCTGAAAGTAGCGAGGATAAGTAACGACCCTCGTTACTTTTGGAATTAGCACGAGTGGCCTCTTTGAAGTCTTCGAGACTCGTTACTTTCAGCGGGTCGTCACTTTCGAGGAGCAAAAAACGTTTTATAAAGTTGGTAGGATTGAGCTCTTTTTACGAAATAAAAGATGGAAACTCTTAAAAATACGGTTTTTAAGACATGAGATACAATTTTTCGTTCCAGTTTAATTAGTCTTAAATCTACGTTGCTGTCACATGGGAAGGCAGTTCATGTCTAGACTGCGTTGTCAGTGGTCGGCACTTCATGACTCACCGCTACGTTAGTAGTCTGCTCTAACCATATCTCAGTGCACTGGTCGAGTTTCCAATTTTAATTTGAAGAAAAGTTTTTTTTTAAATAAGCTCCTGTTGAAAATGATATTAATTTGAATCAAAGTTTCCTATATTTCGGTCCCGTTACTTCGTGATGAAAATTCTACGGGATTTGTTATAACACGGCGCAACATTAACTGATGAAGCACGACTTGACATCTCACAACGCTTCATGGCATGTACCTTCCCTTGTTGTAGAGTGCCTTAAAGCAAGTTACCATACGTAACTTTCATCTGAATAATGATTGGAAAAAAATGAATATTGAACCTGGGTCTATTTTCGGGAAGGGGGCGGGGGAGAGGAAGAGGGGAAGGGGTTTCTGGTGGGTTCGCTACTTTCGCGGGCCACAATTTTTTGACGTTACTTTCGGGGGATCGCTACTCTCGGAAGTTTACGGTAGTAATTTGATGATATTTGGGTTTTTCCTTGCTAAGGTAGAAAAACGTTTCTGAGCTTATTTTTAAATGAAACGAATTTGTTTTTAAAGATTGTGAAAACTATGGATAAGTTGATTTTAAATACCGCTTTCTTGTTAATTTTCAAACAACGCTCCACCGAGTCGATCAACTGCTGTCAAATTTTCAATGGAAACGTGTACAGACAACAGCTTGTATCTGATATGCGTTCTTTCTGCCTTTTGAGCAGGCTTAGTTTTTGGGCCCGCTTAAACATCCGCGAGCCCGCGAGCAAGGTTTGCTTGCAAGCTAGACAGGTCCTTCCTCGCCAGCGCTGTGAGAGGTAAACAGTAGGACACGCGTTTCGCCTTAATTTAGTGATAGAGAAATAAATTAAAAGCAAGCGATTAACCTCTGAACCAAAAACAAACGAATTATTTACGTGTAATTTTCAGGAAAAAAATTAAAGTTGATTACTTTCTTTTGATCGCTCCGCATCGAGGATTAAATCGGATTTAAAAAAGCGAATGACAAGACGATGCTCAAAAGAGGCTTCATCGCAGAGACCCGGCCGAACGCAAGCCTTTTTCTCTGTGGGACTCCGTTCGGTCATCTTGAGTTTTGCCTTATGTCGGCCTAATGATTCTTTTGTCAAGAGCTTCGCTATTTTCCTTTATGTTGCTAATGATGTGTGAAGGATAATAACAGCACTTTTTATTCTCCTTGTGGTCAGTATGATATAGTGAAAGGTGAATATCGATTTCTCGCTGGATAATTGCCGGGCCTTATAAAGAGAAATGCCTGTATGTGGCTTTACAGCATGCTGCATGAAAACAACGAGGTAAAGCCCATCTATTGTCTGGTGTATATGCAACTTATGGCGAAACCGATGTTTTAAAAGCCAAATTTTCGCTTTCTTCACAAACCGTTTGTTTTGCAAAGGAAACTTTTCAAGCACCTGTCCATCTTTTTTCTTAGTTAGGACTTCGCGCGGTCTAAAATGCGGTTAGCCTTCCTTAAAAGCCACGCACTGAATCGTGCACTAAATTAAAAAGTCGGATTTCTAAGTTAAAAGCTTGGAAGATTAGAGCGAGATGAAATTCTGAACTGCGACGTTCTGGAATGATGGAAATTTTAAATGGCATCAAAGCTTACGCCGTTTTTGATATTTTTCTTAAATGGCGCGCGGCATAAAATATTGTAAATATTCTGACAGTACTCGCTAGAACGGCAGTCGCTTTCACTTCTTTGTTGCAATTAATATATTTCTCAAGACAGTGCTGACGTGAAGTTGTGTCAGTAAACAATAACCAAAACGACAGGTGATCAGAAACTAAAAGCTGGCGTACTTGTCTTCCCGCCTGGTGCTGCATGTTACCGCGGTGAATAATTCATGCAGTTTTTCATTTGCGCATGCTTCATAGACCAGCAGTGCACCGAAGTAAATGAAATGCTTGGCGGCCGGCAGTGTTGAGAGTTACTAAATATTCGCATCGCTTAATTCATGGGGCGATAAACACCATCGAAGCGACCGATCTTTTTCTCAACTCACAGCAACTCGCAGATCTCAGGGATTTCTGCAAGGTGAGTGGATAATCCCTTTAGAGAGTCGCATTCTATGAAGAAAAACTCGCTTTTCTTGTGGCTCGATAGCGGGTTCGTTCATGTTGAGATAAGCGAATGTGCGTGTAAACATGTGAGGTTTGATTGGAAAACGCTCCGTATTTTGGAAAGCAACACCAAAACGACCTCCGCAGGCACTATTTAGGGAGCATGGTTCACTTTGATGGTCGACTAACCATTCGTACAAGGTCTATGTTTACCAAATTTCTTCATATAAACGTCTTGTTGATATATGTCGAGTGGATTTCTCGAGAACTCCTGCTCGCGCTGTACTACCGGAAATGTGGCAAATGTTTCGGAAAGAAAAGGATAAATTCACAAAACCGATCACAACCTTACTTTGCTGAGGTGATACTTTTTCCAACAAGTGATGTAATTCGACACCGCTTTTAGCACACTAGTAATTGCGCCGTGTTTACAGTTCCGTCTGGAACAGCAGCGTTCGGTGAATTGTTCAACGTGTTTGCACGAAGAGCTGATAATGACACTTAAGTTTTTGTTCACCATACAGAATTAAATATGATTTAACCAGCTCCACGGTAAGGGAACTTCTCGATTCGTTTCTAGCGCGCCCAGTGTTAAATCATAGTTAGTAGAGGAGACTAACTATGGTTAAATGTTGTCGAGAAACAAAATCGAAATGGCCCGATGTAAATCGATTTTTTGTTGCGAGAATTAGATATTCTTATCTTAAATATACGGAAAAAATGATAATTTTTTAAAAGGAGAATCAAATGAAGAGACTTTGACATTAACCTATGATACGTCCCGTGTCGCGTTTTGATTTAAGCTATTGGTGTTGAAACGATTTTCGTTGTCGAAACGATTTTAGCAGTCGAAAGACGCTGTCGTCAAGGCTTTTTTTATTATTTATTTTGTCTAGAGGTTCGTAGAAAAATACGTGCACTAACCAGCTCTTGATCAACTTGTTGGCAGTCGCGGCTTTTATTAACGATATGAATATTCGACGAGATGTTTACATTCGTCGAAATGTACGTGCTTGTAAAAAAGCCACCGCCGTTGAACAAAATCGGCAAGTGTTACATCTTAAAAAAAAAATACTGTATAATAAATTAGTTCTTATCTCTCTTGGCATAACTCTTGCTTGCCGCCCATAGTAAGCGATTGCAAATCTCATGTTTTAGTTGCAAAACGTAAACAAACGGATTTGAAGTTCGAGGGGTACGTATTATTCCAACGTCTCATTCGAGCGTGTGACAGATTTGTATAAACTATACACACACATTCCATGCGAAATTCATTTTCTATTATTCTTTTGTCTTTGTGTCTTCACCAAGTAAACAGTGAGGCTTGGATATACTTCAGAAAGTGATATATCCTTCTCAGAATTGACCTAGCTCAAGAGCTTGCACGAGAAATACTTTCTCTCTGTTGTTTTACCAAGGAGAAAACAATACATTATTTTCTCGCGCGTGTAACCGTTTTATTTATAAGTTCCACTTTATTGCACCACACAGGTTTAAACCCAGTGTTTTATTTCAATTTTCTCTACTATCATGCAGATATTGCGTTCTTTCGCCCACGGATGTATAATGTTTTATCCTACAAAACAAAAGATTGTTTGATCACAAGCTGCCCTGAACCCCTGGGAAAGTCACGTAAACAATATAAGTTCTCAATGCACTATCATTCTATCTTGCTGGGGGTCGTACGACATTGAAATTCTGTTATCATGTCCTTCTTAGCTCCACGTAAAACTTATTTATGTAACATATTTTCTGCTGACAATGTTACGTTTTTGATTGGAAAGTTGGAAATTAAAGTTTAGTACATAGGCAAGACATTGACCAATTTTGCATAAGTCTCATTGATTATAGAGGTCTTTTTTTGGCTAAAAAATCTAAAGAACTCTTTAACTAGAAAGATCTAGAAATAATGAAAGAATTTACGTCAAGAAGTGTTATTTGTAATGCTAGATTTGGTACAGATATGAATAAAATTGTCGCCCTTGTACCTGTATATAGTATATATGTCAGTTTATAAGCATTCAACGTTTTGTGCTTTCAAAACGTTTATTTTTACTTTATTTTGACTATTTGTTTTTCCTGTTTTTTTTTTTTTTGTCAGCAGAAAGCTTTCCAAACTTAAATCTTGTTATGAAAATATGATGGTTTATATGGTAAAATCAACTAATAGATTCCACTTTGCTGTGTGTCTGTTCAGTGATAGATCATAGATGGTCATAGATGATGTCAAAATGTGGTAAAAACAAAAAGGTGGCACATGAGGCAATAGCCAAGTGTGTCACTGAAGTTCACTATTACTGAGCAGACACACTGCAACATGGAATCTACTAAACAATTGGATTCTGAGCTCGAGATTTCTATCGTGTGACAGTTGACTCAGGCTGCACCCTCGACAATATCATGCATAGAAATTGAGAGCAAATTATCTAGTATAAATCTGCAAGTTGTTCAAAACTAAATATCTAAATCCTCAGATTCACAGACATTTCGAAAAGGCCAAGAAGTGGCCGTCATTTTGTTAACAAGGGTACACTGCTACGTTACTCACTATCTATCACAGAATAGATAGTGAGTAGCGTAGCCAATCAGAGAATGGCATTTGTGATACAACGCTAGTAGCTTTATGCTAACTGTTTTGTATAAATTATAAAGAAACAAAAAAGAATGTTCATGATGTCATCTATGAATCTGTCCTCCAATAGATCATAAGTAAGAACTAATCAAAATGCAAGAACAATTTCACTGATTATATGTGCCCACTTTCCCAGATTTTGATAGGTTCCTTTGGAACTCCTAAGTGTAGTTTCCATAATATTAAAAATTCAGGTTTGAGTTCTCTGAAATGTTTTAGTGGAGAATGGAACAACATTTTCTGATTGACTGCAGAACTTCTGAAAAACAGGACAAAATCAGCATAATCAAATTTTTTTTGACGTTCCTGAAAATTCTGTTCCACTTAATTTTGTGTCCAAAATTACAGAATGTTGAGATGAACAATTCATATGTCAAATTTTTACTCAACAGAAACTTTCTGAAGATATTTTTACTACTATTTCTCATTCACCTCCATTTGAATGCCCTAGAATTTTTTTCTGGATTGTTTTGTTCATTGAGAAGAGTTACATCTATCTTCATGCAACATCGACAATTTCCTGAATTTTAAACTTCTTTACAGGTTGGCATCTCTGAAACCTACTAATTTAGAGTTAATTTTAATTGGTTTATAAATATGACATTTGAATCTACTTTTTAACAGAGAAAAGAATACTTCTCTGCAGCCAATAACCACAAAAACTGGCAAATGGGTTTAATATGGCTCTAAATTTATGTTACAAAAGTGTATGGCGATATTTATAGATGACTATAAAATGCATAGGTTCTGTTTGCTGGACAGACTGAAAAGAAGATTTGAATCTGGCTTTATTTCAAGTCATGAATTAAACATAATATTATTTTTTTTATCAAAAACAATAATAATTTGTTATTGATCTACTTGACAACGAAGGTGCCTGTATTCAGGCTTACTCTCACATCCCTTACCCCCAGTATATATAATGTCTCAGATTGAATTCAGAAAACACTTAAATGGCCATGTGCCTCTGTTTCAAAATGAGTCCTCATGCCAAACATTTCATATGAAAATGAGTTTGATTTGCATGTGAATACACTTGTAAGTGGAGCACATTTTTATATGAATGGTTTCACATAAAGACTTGTTTCGACACAGAGGCAAATGGGAACTGGGAAATGGCCAATTATGCTTATGTGGCATGTGTACACATGTATGTCCTATGAAATGCTAGTTTGGTTTGTACCCGGGCCACACTTTGGATAAACTCTAGTTTCGCTTTGTTTTTTCCTCTGAAAACTCTGGTTTTTGAAACCCCTTCACTCTATGGATTTCCAATGATCTTCATAGCTTAACTGTGGATATATAGATTCAGGAATCACATAATTGGTACAACTGAGAGTTTTTGAGCAGTTTGTTTAAATATTAGCTAGTTTAAATTCATAATGCCTTGAGTACAACAATTTTTGTAAGAAAAGTGAAAGGAAAGATTTAAAATTTATGTACATTAATATTTTGACTTATTAAAATTGTGAATTAATTAGTTGTGAGTCAAAGTGTATGAAACTATTAGGAATAGAATGAAAATGTGATCATAGTTCATGTTATTCTCATTCAACAGAGCTGTAAGTTTAGGTATAAGAAAAGAAAAAAACGCTAACTATATAGATAATTTTTTATTACATTACTAGGCTTTAAACTTAATATTAATTTAATAAGTAGACATAATGTCTAAATTTTCAGTGTGATGTTGAAGTGCATGTCTTATGTGGTTTTGGAGGCAGCAGATAGAGTCTCCTGCTGAAGATGAGAAACGCTTACCACAACTCACCAGAATTCAGACTGCAACTACTTTAGAAATGGCAAGTATTAAACTTCCTGATCATCTGAAATTTGATGTCCCGAACACACAAAACATTTTGTAATGGTTTATGCTGGACCACATTGCTATATTTAAATGTTGGAAGACACATTTAAAGCATTAATGAACTAGTATTTACTTTTATGGTAGTCCATAAACTTGGGAATCCAAATATGAATCTAGTTTGCCATAAAATATGTTTTGCTGAATTTATTGGGTAAATAAACCTTCAATAACTCAATACATGCATGTAAAATTATGTGATGTCAATAAAGTAATGTGATGTGATATCATTTATTGTGGTTGAATCAGTGGAGTGCTTCTTTTAACAACCTTTTTGTAGGGCCAAGTACATGTAGCTAGTAGGTAAAATAGTGGCTGCAGTCTCCCGGACTAAAATAATTATTATTTTATGTTGGTGTCTTTCTTATTACCAGTTGAACGTCAAATTGGCCTCAATGAACTACAACAGAAACAAAGGACGTCTTGGGCCTGTTTGTTCCAACACAAGTTCCTTGTGCTTTTTAATGTTTAACTTTTCACTCTACTGTTGATCATCTGTAGGGTTTGACATCACAAAGAGAGCCAAAGCTTAAGAACAAAACATCAAAACTAATATTATATTTATGGCTTTATATGATAATCACGTTGTGGACAACCTAGCACTGAAAGAATGATGAAAACGGATGATACCCTGATAGCAGGCATGTTGTTTGATACACAATGTCACTATTTACATCAAAATGATTATATTTATGGCTTTATACTATAATCATGTTGTGGACAACCTAGCACTGAAAGAATGATGAAAACAGATGATACCCTGATAGCAGGCATGTTTTTTTTCTTACACAATGTCACTATTTAAATCAAAACTAATATAAATTGTTTATGGCTTTATAATATAATCATATTGTGGACAACTTAATGAAAACAGATGGTAGCCTGATAGCAAGCATGGTTATTCATACACAATGTCACTATCCACATCAAAACTAATATATTTATGGCATGAAGAAAACCGTGGGGTGAAATCCGTTTGAGTTCTTTTGACAAGTTGGAACTTATTAAACCCACACTGGAAGATCATATGACTGGTATTTTGTTCAATCTGTCATACAGAATATTTCACCATCAATTTTCACTCCAACATGGTTATTTGAGAGTTCAAGTATGGTGTTTCAGTTCTGCATGAGTGGATAGAAACAAAAATAATTCTACTAAGTATTGTCACGAGGTGACTCTACCACATGGTGTGGCCAAATAGAGACTTCACCATAATTGTCAAAATCTCTGCACTCTTAGTCAACTCTCTAAAAAGGAAATTGGTCAAACATAAAACTTGTTTAATTCCTTGGTAACTGAGGAAGTAAGGGACAATTTTACACTGTCTTAACATAGTATTCAGCAGTAATGCTTGTAACAATTGTCATAACCACTCAAATATCTGAAATAATTTGTGACCTTAAAAACTGAATTTGCATGGTATTTAATCTCATAAAATATTACAACTACAGGCTGCAGATAATACTATCTTCTGTCCATCCGCTGTAAATCTGATAAATATAAATCTGAAGTTGAAAGTCATGAATTTTTTATATTGCTTCTCAGCAACAAAGTTCTTGATTGCAAGTACATTTCAAAGTGAAACATTTTGTGCAAATTTGTGCAGAAATTTATCCTGGCTACTTTATGGGAAAAATGTGTGGTACAGGAAACTCCAAATAGTTCTGCTATCAATAGCAGTTGCAGGTGAATACTTTTAGAAATTTTAACTTTAACCTGCAGGATATGAATTCATATTTCACTAATTTTGATTAATGGATTTGTGTACATGAAATTTATTTCTTGCATTCATAAGCTGAGAGACATATTCCAGACTGACATTTTTTATTATTTATGCAATAACAACAAACTGTATTTTCTGTCAAGTGATTTTTAGCAAAGCAGAAGGAAACAATGTTGAGTTTAGGCAGCTCAATGATAAATATTTTTACAAAGACAAATGGTAAGAATTTCCGCATTAAACATTAACTTTATATTTTGGGAAGAAAGCTATTTGACTTTATGTATTTGAATCAAATTGCTTTTTAATATTCTTTTTTACTATGTACAATATGCTCAAATATACATGTTTATTACTCAGTTACAGATGTAGTCTCTTCAAGACAGCTCTGCCTGGGTAGATTATTCTTGGCTGAGTGAGATGAAGCAGCCCTTACACGTGATATGTTGTATACAATTCACATTGTCCGTGTTAGTGATCTAAAACTTACTTTGCACTTATGATTCAGTGACGTATGAAATTAAACAAATAAGACGTTTCTGCTCTGTTCTGTTCCTATTTTAACAAGTTTGCTTCTTTAATTAGATTCATATTTTGAAAACAGTTGATTTCCTGACCATGTTTTCTTGATGTAGTTAGGACACGTTTCTAGAAATATCTTATCTGTGTGGAAATAATTTACTGCTGGTGATAAAATATAAAAACTTTTCATAGCCAATCGGAAAGTGTGGAGCTGATTGATTCTTATCTGTTATTTTGAAACCCATTGTTTCTTCGATTCTATTGAAATTCGTTTTACAGTATTTACATGTACTTTACACAATAACTAATAATGTTTAAATTCATTGTCTCTGTATTTTACTTTAAATCATCAAGCTGGGGTTACATGACTAGCACTTTAAAAGTGTCAACACTGGAAAGGCTCATGCTCTAGGTGGCACTTCTGCATTAAGTAAAGCTTTTAAAAAATTAAACATAAAACTTCAATTTTGTTTCAATTTAAATTTTGAATTTTTAAAAAAAGAAGTTATAATATTAATATTTTGTGAATTTAGCTGTATCATTTCTTACTTAAAGCCTTTGTTTCTACCATTAAGATAGGTTTAGTTTCATTTGGTATGAGATTTAAGTTTTCACAAACAAAGCTAGCTAGCAAGAAAATTAAAGTTCTATATGTTTTGTGCGTATGCTCATGTGATCAGTTTAAATTGTGAATTATTAACATTCAATTGTAGCAGAAAGCTTGTATCTCATTGAACTGAAAGCTACTGCCAGCAGAAAATTACTTTATTTGCATGTATTCCATCTTGAAATAATTTATTTGTTTTTAATTGTGTTTATAGCTTTGATATCATATCGTGATTTTGATTCTCTATTGCTATTATGTTACCCTTCACACAGTAGTTGACTAGAACAATTTGTATGTTACGAAGCATTGAAATTGTATCTTGATTATATATCACATATATCACAGTATTTAATTTTAGAAAATAGCCCTAAGAAAATACACACGCTGATTGGTTAAAAATCCTGTTTCTATAACTTGATGGAAATGCAGAACTAGCGCGAGCTGTTGACGTAATGATGACGTGAGCAAAGAGAAGTTACATTTTGATGATCAAAGTAAACAAGTTGTTTCCCTTTTTTGTCGCGGTGTTTTCTAAAAGAAATAGAAAACATGTTCTCCGTGTTTCTATTGAGTTATAGAAACACTCATGAAAGTTTGGGAGAACTGGAAAAAGCTGTGGAAACACTCGCCTGCAGCTCGTGTACATCTTCAGCATTTCTCGTTCTCCCAAACTTCTACTCATGTCCCTATAACTTGATAGAAACATGGTACATGTTTTCTATTTCTTAAGGATACATGCACAAGCATTTGTCTTGGTCTAAATTGTTTTGTGTTTGAAATCTTCCTATTTTTCAGAACTGAAGGATATCAATGGGCCTTAAAACATTTAATATTTTGGAAAACTTTGGAAGATCCTCATGCAAGAAAGATTCGTGTTCTTATGATAATCATAAATTCTAGAAGATCCTAACTCGAACATGCAATCGCAAAGAAAAACTCTCTAAGTCAATATTCTGGAATCTTTGAAAGATCTCTGGATCATTTCTGTGAAAAGTGTATTCTATATGTATTTGAAATATTATATTTGAAATGTTATAGTGAAAAATTATATTCAATATGTTCAAAGCTGTTTATGATATTTTTGGGTATTTTATTTGTTTTCATGATGAAGATAATATTGCATAATCGTTGAAATGTTCAGATGGAGGCATTCATGACTAACTACGTACTTGGTTGCTGAAAATAATAGTGATTAAAATGTAAATCGTATGTGTCGTAAAATTTATTGTATGTGTTGGGCTAAACTGACAGCTGAAGGCTTGGGTCCTAAGACGTGTACATGTATGTTGTGGAGGATCCACCCAACATTAAGTGTCAAATAAGAAGCATTCATTCTTATAAGCTTGCATGCTGCCCAGGTAGTTATCCTCTTGACTGCTCTCTTGTAGTATGACAATTTAGGGATGTGGTCTGGTTGCTAACACACGTTTACATTATACTACATTGCCAGCTTACCATTTAAGATCATGGGCACGCATTAAGTGTAGATTACAAAAAGCCTACGTTGTAGGCAAAATCGCTCTGCCTACCCCTCTCCCCCAATGCGGGCTAGTTGCGAATGCCACTTAACACACATAGCTGTTTCACTTTCTTCAAAAGGTCTGCCCATTCACTCATTGTAACAAACTGCTGTGGTTCATTTTGCAGGAAATGACAGTAAATGATGGAGGATTTCTCAATGCAGTCAGGGATGGAAGTTGTACTCATGTCTTGAATCTGTTGGATAGTGGAGGTGTTGACTTGGAACAAAGAGACCAGGTTAGAGAATAAAAGGGGTGGCAAATAATGGTAATTGTAGGGACTTTGTGAGAGGATGAAACAAGATTTTTTTTTCTGAGAGACTGAGCTATTTCAAATGACTGTGCTTCAATTATTGTGAGATTGAGACTTCAAGGTGTTTTAAATGGAGACTTGAGAGGTTCAGATTGTAAGACACGCAGATCACATCATTTAAAAAAAAAGTGTAAAAAAAAAATGACCAAGCAAATCGGTATTTCAAGACATTCTTAGCTTTGCAAAAAAATCGAGACTGCAAAACAGCTTTGTAAAATAATAGAGACTGCCAGACGCAACGTATAACTGCTAAAAAATGAGACAGAGACCCATGAAATTCAACAAAAATTTTGTGAGATTCATGGTTTTTAAAGGACCATTCGGCACCCTCACTAAGACTTCTAAACAATATTCTAAAATACATCATCTTCAAGATATAAATTTGCTTTTATGTCAGTTTTAAAGTTGCGTAGAATATTAAAAATGAAATAGATATTACTGCATTGTACATATAATTACTACATAATATTGTTATTTAAATATTAACCACTTTTAGCCAAAACAGCTACCTATAATTTACTTGTTAACACATGGTAATATGTTTCTGATGAAATTTTTGTCTCTGTCAGAATGGCCAGACCCCTTTGATTATTGCAGCAGAAAAAGGGAATGTGGAAATTGTTCATGAACTGTTGAAAAGGAATGTCCAAGTCAATGTGCAGGATGAGGTGAGGTCACCATAGTAATTAAAAAGAAATTTCTGAACCCTTTATAAATTACAGATTATTAAATGATTGTTTTCAGTAGAACTAGGGTAGTTATTTATAACTCTGTAACTGTGGTTAGTAATTTATTACTTTGATATTTTAAGGATGGCTGGACAGCGCTTATTGCAGCTTGTAAGGAGGGGCATATTGAGGTTGTAAAAGAGCTTCTTGAATGTGGTGCTAAAGTTCAGTTGCCAGACTTGGTAAATGTGGATTAAATATTTTAAAAGATTAAATGTAATTATTTCAATTGGTATGTTTAAATAATAACATTATGAATCATCATGTGTAAAGTCAAATTCATAATCATACGGTGCCAGGTTTGGGTGACAGAATCATTATTCCTGACCATTAATTAATTTTAAGTCATTTGTTTATGACCCTCAAAAATTGTTGACCTCATTAAACTGAAATTTTTCAATTCTCAGGCAGTTATTCGGTTTTTGGATAAATTTTTGCAATTTGCTTTATGTAACGGATAGAAAACTTTCACTACTGTGGTATAATGTCCTTACTTATTTATATATCATAATAATTATTGTCCTGCATGCAAAATTAAAATTTTGTTTGTAATAACAATAGAAAACTAAGCAAACCTGATAATATCCTCCTGTGGCTAACTGGACATCACCAATAATTGTAGGGGGGCTGGTCTCCTCTGGTGTGGGCGTCATACAAGGGACATGAAGACATTGTTAGAGAGTTGCTGGATTATGGTGCGGACCCTAACGAGAGAGGACAAGTAAGTTCATACGAGTGTTGTTTTGCAAAAATAAACTGTCAGTGAATGTGGGAAATATTCCTTGATTCTCCATCCTTGCAGCCATTAGTTATCCATATTAATGATTTCCTGCTAATTTCTGGGTACTATTCTACAAAATCAAGCCATTCTAAATTGTTTTGTTGGGTATCTAGCCATCTATGTGTGTTTTGAGCTGCCCTTGCAATCTTGCTAAATATAAATTCACCATGTCGTACCATCTTTTTATGGCATGCCTTTGTATCCCATGATTTTTACATGCGTGTAGTTTCTTGCACCATCAAAATACAAGTTTATCAAATCATAATTTTATTGTGTTGCACACATTTAGTTACTGTTGTCTCAGATAATTTTAAAGCATGTTAAAAAGCTGAAGACATATGAAAAACACTTGACAAATGTAGAAAACATACAGGCTCATGTTTTCTAATATTTCGCTCATGATTCCCTGCAATTATTACTAAGGCCACCTTGCTAACGTTTAAGTCAGATTATACGTTCAGTCTCATTAAATGTTTTTGGCTCCTATGTTACAGTTAGGCCATCCCCCTTTTTTTCTCTGGTTAGCGTCGTCCGACCGACCCAGATTTTCGCGTTTTCAAAAAAAAAAAAAAGTTACACAGAAGGCAATGACGGCAATGACACATTATTTCAAATAATTGTCACTTTAATCTGAAACATAAGCAATTTTTTACCTTACAGATTTTTAGTTTTTCCCTGTTCTCGTTTGATTTTAACAACGACGTCGACTTTTTCCTTCCTCCATTGGTGCGATGTTGACTTTGTAACCACACCTTGTTGTTTCCAGGCTCCACGGATATTATGCAGAGGTACCGGGCTTCCTAGCCCCAGACTCCTTTTCCAATTTTATTTTTGTTTTTGTTTTTCTCTTTTCCGACCGACCGACCCAAAATTAGAAAACGCATTCGACAATAAACGGAAAAAAAAGGATGGCCTTAGAAACTTACAGTACAATTAGTGGTGTCCTGTTTGTTCACATTGTTGATGCGTTAATTCGATGAAAGCTAAGTCGAACTGAGAAAACTCACGACAAGCTTGAGTTAATCTTATCTAGCTGTTTCAATGGCTTTTGTCCTTGTGCGATTGTTTGATAGTACATGGCTTTTAATACTTGGGAAACTAACATTGGATAAAATATTTTTCTCAAAACGCTTGTAATTTTTCACCTATAACTTAGTTTTTTAGAATTTTAGTTTTTAAGCTGTAATTTTCACTTTTAGCGTGTAACGTTCATTTTTTATGTATTTTGATTGTAATGCGCATTTGAACATATACGTATGGAATTTGCGCACAACATATTCATAATTATTATTATTATTATTATTATTAAAGATTCGCACAGCTATTAATATTATTATTATTATTATTATTATTATTAAAATGGCGGCATCGTCCTCTTTCACTGAGTCACGTGCAGCATTTGTCTGTAAAACGCATTTGGACCAATAGGAAAGAGCCAAAAGAACCCATTGTAAAGCCGGCGCGCATGGATTTTTTTATTTAGGTGAAATAGTAAGAAATCTGTTGTTTTGTTTTTCAGTCATTACTTCCCCAGTAAAGGTCGAGAGCTGCTATTATTGTCCCGTGACCCAGAAAAATAACTAATAACATAAAAACTGGAAACAAAGTAGACCTTTTCTGGGCAGCACTCAAAATGAATGGTAGAAAATGGCGAGAAATGTTTTAGAGAGCTTTTTAAAAGTGCTACAAATGCTGTAAAGATCTGTCAGACGTGTCGAGGATGGCCACTTCATCATTTGTCTGACGAGTTTCTTCACAACATTTAAGCACTCTTTCATATTTCCTTTTTGGCTTTTTGTCTCAAGCCACTGCGAACCTTTAAGTTGGTTTTACAAATTGACACATGAAAGAATTCTGAGTTTCCTAGTCAGGAGGCACGGTAAGTTTAGCTAACGACTTAACTTAGTCAATTATTAATTGTCATCTTACAATATTCAATTAGCTTCCCGAGAAGAATAACTCGAGGTGGTAACCATTTGTGAAAAAAAATCCACTTGCGCTTATTTATTTAAAACCAAAGGGAAATCGAATTTAAGTTGAAATTTTTTGATTCTCTAGTAAAACCGAGGATTTTCGACAAACAATACTAAGAAATTCTTAATACTTACTCTCACATTGCCGTGTATGTTTCGTTTGAGCAGCATGCCCAAACTTGTGTTCATGTCTTGTAAATTATAAATAATGATCAGCGCTAAGAAAAACAGAACTTTGTAAAGTGATACTGTTGACTCACCAGGATAGAGGCTTGTGTTTTTTTTCCTTTTTTCACTTCAGTGTTTCTTTTAAATTCATCAAGTCTGCAATCAGCATATCTCGACTTCAAATCAATGACAAAATCGCCTTTTTTTAACAATTGATCTTTGAAGCCAATTGAAAGATAACATTCTTTCGAATGTATGTCGTTGCCTGATGGCTAGTTTTTGTCGCGGCGGCCGTATACCGTAATTAGAGGTAGCTCACTTTTTTGTGGCGTTTCGGTAAAATGGGATTACATTTTTGTTTGAGCTAAGCTGCTGTGTTTCCATATTAATATTTCACCATCTTTGGTTTAATTGCATGCTAATTGTAAAAACTTCGACTGGCGAAGTACGTCAATAGTAATTTAATGTCTTCAGAATTCTATGATTCGGTTGGCAATTATGTACTGGGCTCTGAAACGGAGCGAACTTCGCAAGCGTCAGAAATCGACGGAAACCCTCACAAATCTTAACGGTAAGATTTTTTTAAATTTGATTAAAGAATTGAACATTTGTAAAGCAAGCAGACAAATGGTCGTATTTTATCATGGACTTGTGAGATCCTTTATTTTAATCCGCTTTGCGACGGCCCATGATAAAATCGTCTTTTTGATATCGGTGATAAACCCACCTCACTTTGCAGAATATTGCGAGCTCAGTTTCACTGTAAACGTTTATTTTTCGATGCCTGGTTGCGTGGAACCGCAGTGGAGACCGCCATTCGACGGACATACGTTGTGTGCAGTTTTTGTGGTGGCGATTCGTTGCTTATCTTAAGTGGCGTTCGATTTTGCATATATTTAAAAAGTCATTAGCGATTCGCACGGCAGGTGAACTAGCTTCAGTTGAGATCGAACTGGGAGCAAATAGAGTTCTTTTTATTTTGTGTGGCTCGTTAGTTCTAATTATATACATCAGAATATTGTTTCTCGGTGGTATTCTCTCGTCAACAACCAGAGGTTCATTCCCGATATGATTCCGTCCAAACGTAAGTGGTCTCGCACCTGAAGTTATGTTATTGCAGTGAGTTGTTACAACGAGGTGATAAGTTGGTGTGTATCTGACATCTCCAGGCACATATGAGAATTAACGCATGGCTCTTGCGATGGTGTTGTAGGCGAATTTAACGACTTGAACACCAGGAACGAAGTTTCATTAGCGCATTGTTCCATCTTGAAAAGTACTAGCTTGGGTTTATAAGAGATTGATCTTTGTGCATAAAACTAAATTGCACAAAGAGAAGTAATTTCTTTTCAAGTACAATTCGTTCCCTAGAAATTACGTTTAATGTGGGCCGCAATAGAGATTTTGAACCATGAAATATGCCATAAATAATGAAATGCAATATGAATACGCTTTTTTTTTTTTTCAAATTTTCGCAACGATGCACGAAAATTCATCAAGAAGGATATATCGTTCATTTCTTCTCCAGCATTACATGGTTTTCAGAAGGAATTGTTTAGCCAAGACAGTACACAAAGACTTCACTTGAATCGCATTATCAAGAGAAGTCGTTCAGTTTATCTATTTGTTCATTCATTCATAATGGCTCTTCATGTCTTTTATGTTTTGTAAAGAGTTGATTCGTTTCTGCAGCCATGTTGCGTTTCAATCATACTTGCTCCCTTAATAGTTTGAAATTTAAAGCTCGTCTGATTAGTTTTGTGTCATTTATTTTGTCGTGGATTTATTTTAAGCAAGATTACAAAATTTTCGGCAAATACTACGACGCATTTAGAAAGACCCTTTTTACGACAGTTTGGTCTAAGTCTAAGTGGCGCAAAAATTAAAAAGAAGTAGAAATCTGCAAAAAGGGAACGTTTGAGCATGAAATAGTTTAGTTGTGTAGCTCTATTCGAAATGGAAATGTTTCGTTCACGTAAAATCGGAAATGTTTATTTGTTTTATGCAATGATATATAGCTTTAACCATGGAGATGTTTAATTTATGTGCGGTTTTTGATACAATATGTGGCCTGTTTTGTCTTTATTGCGTCTGCTTTTCTAAACGCAAATAATAAGAAATTAGGATGTGCTTAGTAGTGGTGTGTCAATCTTAGTTCAAATGTTCCAGATTTAAAAAAATGTTTCGATTCCAGGTTTTTTTTAATATCGCATATATACCGATTCTTTGTGGAACACATGTCGGCTTGCGGTACACACATTTCTATAAACAAAGCCAGAAGTCTGTAGAAGAAATTATAATCCCCCAAATATAATAAAAATAAGTTTTGTTCGCTAAACCATCCTTCCATTAGTATTTGATAAGGTTCAATTTTGTATAGTGATAAATATTTCCTAGGATTTGATGTCTTATGAGAGATGATTAAATTTTGTTGAACAAAGATTGATTTTTTTCTTTTACATGTAAGTTCTTCCGTCCAAAAAAAAAAAAAACATGTAATCTTTATTTTTATATTTATTATCTTAAGTGATTTTCGACGTGGTATAGTTCTATCTTGATTTTTGCCCACCACGCGAAGTCGTGTCTTTATCGTGTGATTTCGCTTTGTTTATAGTGGCATGTTTTTCTTTTCGATTCTTAAAATCTTCAAGCTCTTTTTACCTGGTTTGAAAATTCACTTGAAATTCTCAGTGACCACATCAACAACAGTTAAGAAACGTTTCCTAACCGCACAACTCGCACGGCTATCGTTATTCTTGTCTGAGGAACTTGCGGTCAGCGCGCGCTTTGGTTGCCTTGCGAGACTATACCACAAGCCTCGGAAAATGCTACGCATTAAAAGACCGTTTTGTAAAGGGCTATGAACATGTTTAAAAGTTCGGATTTCCAATAATAATACAATGAAGTTCAAATAACAGTAGCGCTGGAATACGCCGCTTTCGATATATTGAAATTCAGCTTGATGGTGAGGCCTAGACGACACAAACAAAAGAAATGAAAAAACATGGTCATGCAATTTCCTTTGTTTGTGTTCTCTAAGCCTCACTGCCAAGCTGAATTTGATATATCGAAAACGGTCTATTCTTTTAGAAGGAAGTTGTGAGTTTTCCCAATTATCAATTTCATAATTGATCATTCATTTCGTAAGCGTGGGTACCCTGTGGTTGGGATAAAAATTACGTCGAAAGTTAACTCCTTTTAGTTTTAATTGTCGCTTGTTCCCTGACATGTTTGCTGTCTGAGAGCCTCTCAGTTTGAAAATCTAAAGAGGTTTCTGCTATTTTTCATTGGGTATGGGAATTTGCAGGTCACTGAACTGATTTTAAAACTGTAATTGATTGAGTGATATTCGACCCCATATTCCTAAAACGAGTGTAAGGCAATCTGCTGGAATTCTCTGTTTATCCCCAGTGTGAAGAATTTGCACGCTCTTGTTGAATTTGAAATTGTCATCTTCTAGCCGGGCTTAGGCCTGAGTGATATTGGAATTAGTGCAAAAAAAAAAACATTTAGAACAAGATTGAAGTTTTATAGACACTTGATTCGTTATGTGAACTATTCTGGCCTACGAGCTGTGACGACCCCAACGCATAACGCATTTAGACATCGCATTCTTCGCGTAAATTCGACGCGTGACACGATTTTACAGTTTGTTTTTCACTACTTACGTTTTAATCATCAATTGTCATTATTATAGCAGATGGAAAATCTATGAATACATCCTTTTTTCAGTAAGAAAATGTTAGAGCAACAAATCTAAGTCCACATCAAACTGGAACGAAAATTCAACGGCATTTGTAACTGAATAGCGTATAGATGACCAGCAAAGAATTCTATTGTTGAAAGATTTAACGTAGTCACAACACGTCTACACACAAAGAAGGAGTGACTAAAATACTAATAACTAACCTTTTCTGAAGATAACTGATGACATATTAAACAATCCTAGGAAATTGTTAGCTTTGACGTGGGTACATCTTGAAACATTCGGAATTTAGCTGATGGACTGATGAATCGAGTGGCACAACAGGCCAGGGTCACGAAAACTGGTTTTTTTTTTTTTTTTGGCGCGCTTTCAATTTTTTTTTCAGATCAGAGGTCGCTTGAAGCGATCACGTGACGATTTAACGTAGCCAAAATCCCGTTGTTATTTCCACAGCATGGTATGACAGCCCTTATATGGGCATCAGGCCGCGGACACACTGAAGTGGTTGATCATTTATTAGAAGCTGGAGCAAACCCTGACGCTGCAGACAAGGTACGTGACGCGCGTGAGTGCGAGGGCGATTCTCGCGTGATCACCCACGGGCAGATCAGCCCTTAGTATGCGTGTATGTATTTATGAAAACCGGGTGAATGAAAAATGCGTTCCTTTGCACAAATTTCAGCGATTTGATGTCACGACTCCTAAAGGCGCCATAAGGAGCGCCATAAGGAAGATAGGAAAGTGGAGGAAAGAGAGACTGACATTCCTTTAATTTAATATCGTCTACTTGGTGAAAAAAAAAAAAAAGCTTGAGCAGTGAAAAGACGATTTCCGTTCTAATAATTTTTTTCTTCAATTCTCTTATTTTAGTATGGAACTACTGCCCTTGTCTGGGCCTGCAGGAAAGGCCATTTAGGAACTTGTAAAAGTCTTCTCGCAAAACACGCCAACGTTGATACTGCAAGCAGTGTGAGTGAGACTACCGTAATACGTCTTGCGTTAACTTGTCACGCATGTCACTTATGCTTAAAGTCTGTTAGCTTATGTGTTTCCACCTAAAACGTCCGAGCCTCTGCCACTTGTTCTTGCCAATCAGAGCGATCTTAGCCAATCAGATGTAAGCTATTTGGCTCAAGTCTGTTCTCCCCGAGCTTGCCAATTAGTGATAAGAATTTCCGGCAGGGTTTCGCCTAGCCTTCTGATTGGTTAACTACATGTAGCCCAGAATTCCTCTGCACTCCCGAATGGTTCCATGGTCAACAGCGCTCATTGTAACCAATCAAACTGCTAGAGATGGTATTATTTAATTCCGCTTTTGTAGCGATTGGGTACTCACGGCCTCAAATAAAAAAAAAATTGTATAGGTAATCGTATAAATGCACGTGCAATTAAGGATATACACAACGAGTTTTATTTGAAAATTCTCTCAAAATTGCACGAGCCATTTGAGCAAATTTTCAATTTTTACAGAGTAGTGTAAATCCTTGAATTGCTCAAGCTTTCATACGATTAGCATTTACTCATTTTATTGCATGTCTGAGAAAACTACAAGTGCGCGCGCGTTAATTTACACTGTAGTGCAAACTAAAAGGTGACCTACCCTCAGCCAATCACAATAAAGTAATTTTCACAGTCACATGCCACCTTTTTAGCATCGTAGTTTAAATTGAATATTGTCTATTTGGTGTTTAAAATTCAGTATTGCTGTTAGTATTTGTAGATTCAGAAGAAAAGTGTCTTGTATTGATAAAGTAAATAAGTATTGCCTAGCAAAGTATGTTTGAGAAGTCAACTTATCTCTGACATGTTCTGCACTGAGCGTCGTTTGGTTTTAAGCCTACGACAGACGCCAGAAAACGGTTCTAACAAGCTCTGGTACGTTCTTATAGCGAGGTTGGACTCCGTTGATAATGGCGGCTAAAGGTGGTTACACGGAAGTGGTGGATTGTCTGTTGGAAAGGGAACCACACATCAACGTCACAGATCAGGTATAGAGTTAAGAAAGGATATTTATTTCTTTTATCTCACCAAAAATTAGACTACAACGCAGACTTTTTTGGGCTCGTCACGGAATCTTCCTCCCCCAAGATTGCGTGACGAGCCTAAAGAGGCTACTCAGAAACATACCGGGATGGATTTTAAAAATTCCTTTCGTCTTTTGATTGATCGCTCGTAGATTGAAAACTGGAACGCTTGTGCTAATGAGGCTAATATTGTAAACAGAGATTTTCCTAAAGAGGCGCGCTTTGTATTTTCCATCACTGATTTGACTAGCTTCGATTTACCGAAGACTGTTTGCTATCTAATTTGGGAATTTACTGGCTAATATTAAGGAAGCCTTGGGTCGCCAGAGTTCAATTTTGCAGACAGAGGAATTTATTCCGGATTCCAGTTCTTTCCCAATTTTGGACAACCATCGATTCAGTTCGAATTAATTAGCTAATTGGTTGAATTTCATTTGAAACTAACAATTTAATTAAACTGTTAACAGGAAGGAAATTCTGCTCTGGCATGGTCTGCAAAGCATGGTCATGAAGAGATTGTACAACGGCTTCTAGCAAGAGGAGCTTACTTTAACTTGCCAGATAAGGTGTGTTGTTGTCTTAGCATTACTTCTCTTTTTCCTTGAAGTTTCTCGGTGCTAAAAGCGGTTTAGTCTAGGTCAAGACTAGAGGAGTAAACGTTTTAGCAGAAAACCTGACTGAAAAGTGATAAAACTGAAATCAAAATTCATGTTAATCCTGGTTTATTTGAACAACCTGACACAGTGGTATAAATGTGGTGGGTGCCACAGAGCCATGTTGGAGCAGCTTGAGTAATATTGTTGGCGGTAATCAATTGTCCGCTCATCAACTGTAACTCATGACGTTTGGAACAAAAAAAAGCTGATTAGGGCAGACATTCCCTGTTCCTTTTGCCGAAATTGCGAACAGTTTTCCCTAGACAGATGGAGTTAGGATAGCCGAAACATTTTAGTGTCTCTGTGGTGTGTTGTGTTGTCTTTTCTCTTTAGCCAGTTTAGTTTAAAGTTCCTCTAGAACAATATCCGAGATTTTGTCGCCTTGGATACATCGTTGCTTAGCAACGCTTGTGTTGAAAAACGCTGGCTTTGTCTAAGGCTCTGTTAGTCTCAGACCCGAGTAGAAGCAAAGACGCTCGCCTTGTACGAAAGTTGACAAGGAAAGAGCATTGGTTATCTAACAAAACTAAAAAGAATGCTAAAAACTTGTCACCAGAGGTCACCACGAGCATATTTTATGCAGCTCCTTTTTGGGAGGTCGCTGGCATTTGCAAAACAGGACTGGTTTGAAATCTGAAGTTTTTACAATTTTCTTTTATTTGATCGTTCCAAACTTCCTTTGTTCATCATTTGCATTTGGTGAATTCGTTAGCTTTTGTTTATTAATGTTGCAGCAAATATTGGACTGATTTTATCGCGTGCCAGATGTCCACCCCGTGTTTCAATTGTTCAAAAGAATCCTTGAACCGTAACGATGCCTTGAATTCACAGGTCAATGTGCCGTGATGAAATTGTGTCTGCTACAAAATTCACTTGTTCCTGTTCACGTTTACAATTTGAATTTCAAGGAATGGACAGTTTTTAAAGCGCTAAATTGAAGGAAAGGGTTTCTATCGAAAGGCAGCTGGCGAATTTTGCAAAGGTGATGGAAAGCTCGACTGATAAGAATCAGAAAAGACATTTGGTTACGTGGAGACTCAACTCTTCGCTAACAGACTTAAATGTTTTATTTCTGTAGCTTTCTGTTGACGACTTAAGTAATTTTGTGCGATTTTCCGCACGAAAATACGAAATTCTAAACTTATCTCTCGTCTTATGGTGAGTTTGTTAAAACCATTTCACGTTTCAGCCATGTTTTCACCGTAAAAATTACTTTAAACAGGTGGACCTGTCTTACAGTTAGTTTGGCGTACGTGCTGTACGTGCTCTCTCTCAAGAACAGAGAAAATGTGATCTTTTAGTTGTTCAAATTGAATTTGAATATTTCTATTTAAAGAAATGAATAATCCTTTTAACTGAATGAATGAATTGAAATTAGTGAGAGATGAAATGAACTGGAACCAGAAAACTCGAAGTATATAAATTCTGCTTCTTGATAGGCTATTGTTTTAGTTATGTACGAGTTGTTATTTCCTTTTCAGGAAGGCGAGACAGTCCTTATTTCAGCAGCCAGGGACGGCCATTTAGAAGTGGTGAGGACTTTACTAAGCAAATATGCAGATGTAGAAGCTGCCGATGTGGTAAGTTCTCTCAGTACACGTTAAGCCATTCTGATACAAATGCTGTGGCATTTCTTCTTAAATCCTTCGCTGCATTGAAGTCGGTTTAGCCAATACAGATTATGCCGATTTTGTTGCCGGCATCTTCGCTTTCGAACAAAAGGAAAGAAACAGAACTAACATTTATTTACTGAAACATTTCATTTCAACCTCCCGGGGATTTGGAAAACATCATTGTGTGATTTCTATAGAATGTGTTTGCTTAATGTTTAACTTAGCCATAAACTTGTTTCGTGCTGTTTAATCGTCATTAAACGCTCAATTCGTGTTAAGCTGCTGCGGCTTGCTGTGACTCAGGAGCTAATGCTATTTCGTTGACGATTGTTTCATGTCGGTCGCTTTCCAGTATCGCTTTCCGACGCAAAAGCCTGTAAAGGTCAGTCTGCGGTTGCCATGTATGCTTTTAAAATATTTTTGCATGTCTCCGGGGGGAGAGATAGTGTGTTCTCGTTCGTCGCTTACGGCTACAGATTTCACATCTGTCGAGGAAACAGTTGAAAGAACTTTGTGTCAATGTTTACTACATAGCTTTTGATGTTCCTTTTCGGGTTGAAATCCATTTTGAAACGATGTCCGTGAAAGAGAAAGCCAATCGAAGTTTTAACACAGGATTTAACATTTACCAGTTTGTTAAAATTTGGAGTAAGACAGCCAGTGCTAAAGCTCCTTGAAGCTATTCCTGAAGAATTTCTAGGTTCTTGAGTCATGTCTATTCGTCTTCATTTCATGTTGAGTCGATTTTAGTCTTACCTTAAAGTACGCTGGGGTGCGTGAAATTATGCTGCCCGGTATATGAATCTCTCTTTGGCCAACATGGCGTCGAAACAGCAGTGAACAATGCCAACTTTACACCTCCATGATTGTAACAAATTTGATTAGAACGGATTCTTCAAGTAAAGCCAAATTCTTCGTATATTCATGTAGCCGAACAATTTCGATACTGTCTGAAGTAGAAATGTCGTGACGGCGAAAAAGAATGTTGGCATAGCGATGTTGATTTATGTCACAGTCACTCACTAGGTAATAATTAAAACTGACGTTTTGAACTCCCATCTATTCTCCATCGAAGCTAGAAAAATACTTAAAAGCTGCGTGACTTTTAAGTTCGGAATAATTGCTTTCAGTAGGGAAAAATTGCTTATTCGTGGAAAGCTTTAGCTAACAAGTAGGATCAATCTTGTGTGAGTTTGAAGGCTTCATTTGTTTTTACCGTCTAATCAATCATTTGACAATAAAAGGGGCGTTCAGGGACGAGTATATTCACTTTCGTCGTCAGTAATTTTCTGTTTAGTTTTGTTTTGACATAAGCTACAGGTGGTTTGATTTTAGTAAGTTGATAAATTTTGCTGTCGGCAAACTTTCGACAACTCTGTCTGTTACTTTATCTGCCCGAACGCTCGCAAGCACGAGCATGTGTTTTGGTTAGTGCGATGTCAAGATGGCGTTTTTTATCTTAAGTATTCACATACCGCTCGCTGTGATTGTTAAGACGACCACGAAGCGACCTCTTCCTCGCAAATCATTGGTGAGGCCTGTTATTAAAACCAAGCTTCTGTAATATCATTTCCAAACATTGACGTTGTCGCGAAATGGAAACCTATTTAGACAATGAGAGAGAGCAAGGATTTTTAATTGAAATATCTGATAATCAGGGATTGTTGTGACAGTGTTTGACTGATAGAGGGCTGAAGACATTGATAACACACCATAATACAATAGTTTGCGTGCTTGTGCTTTTTGAGCAAGCATTGATTTTGAAGTGTGAAACTCGCGTTACACGCGCAATCAGTTGTAACAGAAATCGGTCAAGACAGCTTAGAGACTTGTTAAGGGTTTAACACATTCAGCTGCCGCAGTGGAGTTGCTCTCTTCCTGCGTTTTGGGCATGGTAAATAACAATGTTGAGACTTCGCTGGCCTGCACAACGCTTTAAAACGGCCTATTTTTTGAGATATTATCTACAAACAAGTGGACGCCTTGTTCGCAATGCTTTTGTTCTCGTATAATGGTGTACACGTAAATAAATCGTCATTTATTTTTCTTATCGCAGGATAGGAAGACAGCCTTGTTTCACGCAGTGGAGAAAGGCCACGTTTTAATTGTAAAGGAACTGTTAGATGCTGGTGCCAACACAGAGACTCAAAACAAGGTATGTTTGCGTCATCCAGTGGAGGAATTCAAAATGGCGGCCTTCTGTATACGTAATACCCACTTTACTTATCTCAAAGAAATCTTCTCTTCGCGTTAACGAATGTTTCTCTATGTGGAAAATACGTTTCGCCGGATAACGTTTCTGCAAAATTGAGAAATTTTATATACTCATGTTACAATATGTTTTCGTTCCCTGCAATTAGGCTTTTTTAAAGTAACACATGTTTTTGTTTAAATAGCGGATATTGTTACATTAATTTCTAAAAATTATGCCATGTGTTCAGTATTAACCGTCGCCTACCTTTATACCTTAACGTTTTCATCGTAGGACGGAGAAACTCCTCTTATTCGAGCAACACAGAAAAAGCACACGGCCATCGTCTCTCTCCTACTTGAAAAGGGCGCCAGTGTTTCCGTTGCAGATAAGGTAAGTTTTTTTTTTTCTTACTGCTATCGATGCATGTCTTGTAGAATTTGCAGCTGAAGGAGACTGATATTTTTTAGCCCCAGCGGGCATCCTTAACAGCAAGTACTAGCCCAGCAGCAGCGGCTAATAATTGGAGTGTTCAGACCAGGTGTTAACCTTTGCGACCTTCACTTTGAATTCGCAAGACAGAATTTATTTATAATAACAAAAACATTTCCTGAACGTATATCTTTTACTCGACACTTGACACTTTCGACTTGGGATTATTTCTCGCCAGCGAGGAGATACCGCGGTCCATGTCGCTGTACGAGGCAGATACCGACGAATTTGCGAGCTTCTGTTGAGGAACCCCAAAGACGCCCGCCTTCTTTATCGTCCGAATAAAGCCGGAGAGACTCCGTACAACATCGATCGACAACACAAACACAGTTTACTGACTCAAATCTTCGGAACTGGTAAGACTTCAGTCGGATTAGTGGTGTAGGCAGTAAAGCAGGTAACGCAATGAAGACAATGAACTAACTTCAAGTTTAAAATAATCTGTTTTATTTCTTGTGTTGAGTCATTTAAGAAATGTACGCAGTATGTGTAAACTAAATTCTAGCAGTGTATTTCTTTCCTGAAGTGGTTCTTATGACGAAAGGAGAAAACGAAATGTAGAATTTGATTTGTTGAACTGAAAAATTATCTCTCAGGATAATATCTTGAGGAAACAAGGAAGACTAGTCTTAGTTAACTAAAGTAAGCCCTCATTGTCTCAGACGAAAATATCCTTACGATACAACTTCCGTCCGCTCCCCCACCCTCCACCTTCCTGTGCGTCATGTGGTTGCTTAGAACGTTTTACCAATGTGGTATATAAAAGAACTAAATTGAATTGAATTGTATTCAGAAGAGTTCTTGTAAGTACTTAACTTTCTGAGACGCAACATCTTTTCTTAATATAAACCGTCCCAATCCGGCCTAAACACCTTTGTTTTGATTGTAAGATAATTTGCTCAAAAATAACTTGCAACAACAATATTCTCCCTGTGGAGAAAGTTTCAGGTTCGTGTTGCTTGTTAACTCAAGGATGCAGTCAATTATTGGCCGATGTGTATGGTACTCAGTTGGGAGGATTGATATGTCGAGGTTATATGTTGTTTACAGGTTTATTTACTATTGGAAAGAAGTGTAGTGAAGAAGTAATGGGTTACGAAGTCTACACCAGTGCCCTCGCGGATGTGCTATGTGAGCCTTCGCTCACCATGCCGCTGACTGTCGGAATGTATGCGCGCTGGGGAAGTGGGAAGTCCTTCGTATTGCGAAGACTGCAAGGTATGAACTCAACCTCGGTTCACAATTCTTTACATTTAAGTGTTTTGGGGCATTTCGTCAGTTATTATCTTCGTCCCAATATTGTTGTCACATGTCAAGTCATAGTTAATAGAGGGGACTGGTTATGAAGCCCGGCAAACATCAAAGGAGCAAACAAAGATGCCAAGATTTATGTTGGAAGGTCCACGACCGCGCACAATCTTTTGTTTTGCGTTCGTACACTATGCATGAATTACGAAACCAACACGTTTCTATTGGTTAGTTCCTCAGTACGGAGTAAACAACTATTGTGTTTTGTGCGCGGTCAAGGCCAAAAAAGCGAACAAAAACATACAACAAAGAACTTTGTCGGGTTTCATAACCATTCCCCT